ATAAAAGCTTCTCCACCCCAAATATTTGTCTTTTCTTCCCTTCCTTTCCTTCCACAAATATCTATTGAGCACCTACCACATTAGATGCTGGGGAGAGATAATGATGAACAGGATACCTGGTTCCTGCTTTCATGGTTCAAATAACAAACAATAATGACATCCCCACCCCCACCCCCGCCCCTCTGGCACTGGGAATTGAACCCAAGGGATGCTCTATCACTGAGCTAGATCCACAGTCCTTTTTTAAAAATTTTATTTTAAGACAGAGTCTTGCTAAATTGTCCTGGCTGGCCTCAAACTTGTGATCCTTCTGCCTTAGCCTCTGAAATCTCTGGGATTACAGTCATGCACCACAGGCACCCAATGATAATTACAAATTTCAAATTGCTAATCCTGAAGAAACTAATTGGATGCTGTAATGATTCAGGGCTAAGGAGCAACCAGTCATGAGAGGAGAAAGAGCAGTTTGGGCTGGTGGTACAGCCAGGGGTAAAGGCTCCAAGATGGGACATACCTTATCTCAAGTGAGGAATTTTTCCCCTCTGACTTTGGGGGGTCTCTCTCTATTGCCCTGGTTGGTCTGGAACTCCTGGGTTCAAGGAATCTTTGTGCTTCAGCCTCCCAAATAGTGGGGACTATAGCACATACTGCCACATTCAGTTCTCTGCTTCTTTTTACACAGAACCACCTTCTCTTTTCAGAAAAATTAAAGTTCATCAATACAAGCCTCAACTCCTTAGTGAGGTAGAGAAAGGGAAGAATATGAACTTTTATTTTGATTTTTTTTTTCCTTCCCAGAAATGTTTGAGTAGGATTTATCTTAGGCACTCTTTGAAGTTAATCTTCAGTTTGTCCTCAATGGATTTGTCCTTGAACTAAGACTCTGAGCTGCCTCGTTTCTCTGGTACTTTTACAATTATTAGTGAGAGAATCACAAAGTAGCTCTGTTCAGGAGTGCAGAGGTTCAGAATTGAGAGTTTCATTGGTGGTCTTAGAAGCTACACTCATTTGTTCCCAAAGTAAGGTTGATTCAGATGCCTTGGCACTGAAGGGAGCAGGCAGCATAGTCCATGACCCCAAAGAGTTTGGCTGGAACCATTCAAGTTCTCATCTAGTACTGATGAATGGAATACAAATGTTTTACCCATCCATAGAGACCTGACAATTCAAGGGCAGCTCTGTGGCTCTCTCATCTTTCTCCTTCTGCCCATATCAGTATAGGGCCTTCATGACCCTGACACTTCTGGAAGGCAGTACACACCCTTCTATTTACCTCCTCTCTCTTCTACTTCCACCCAGTCAATGCTCAGATCCTCTTTCAATTATGTCTCCTAAGTTCTGACCCCTTCCCCAACAGATAATGTTATGCTCGAATTCAGGACCCCCAAAGACCACCAGAGACCCAAGATCGATGTAAGCAGCAAAGAGGTGTTTATTGCAAGCTAGCTCGGTCCTCCGTGCGCACGCGCGCACACACAGCAACTGGTGACACTGAGAGGCCCCAAGCCCAGGGTTTGCAGCAGTTTTATACATTCTTTGGAGAGGGCAGGGACTTCACATACATCATAGCTTCTTTTAGCAAATCATCACACACCATGGGAAAATCAAATAACAACTCTAAAACATGATTAGCACATTCACTGGCGGGAACAAGTTGGGTAGGGGTGATTGGTCAGTACAAAAGGGGTATTCGTTTGAACTGATTGGCTTGAGCCAAGAGGGGTGTACGTGCTGAACTACATGGTTTCCCAACTTGTTATCAACCACCATAAACCACTGGGAGGGTTATCTGGCATCCCAGGTATTTCCCTGTCTCATGCTGATTGATGGCTGCTGGGGGGCTGCTATGGATCCCCACCTAGCCTGACTGAGTCAGGGACACCTGGCGCAGCAGATCTCTCCTGTTATTTGTAGATAAACAACTTAGCAGGGTGAGAATGTGCTTAGGAGTGCTCTGTGGGTTTTTCCAAGGACTAAGGCCATGTCCCTTGCTTGGACAGGCTTTGCTCTGAGGTAGAGGCTGGTTTTTCAATAACTACTTTGGGGAAATTGTTGGGAGGTGAATTCTCATAACCAAATAATTAGAACTTTCAATTATTACCAGCTTTACAATCCTTTGCATATTTTCCCTGTGTTCAGAGAAGGTAAATTCAAAGAAACCTACAAAAAACTACTTAGGATTAAAATAGAGCAAACTAAGTTATTTGTATTTATGAATATATCAAAATAAATATCATTGTTATGTAGAACTATAATGCACTAATATGCATTTTTTTATATTTATTTTTTAGTTATAGACCGTCACAAGATCTTTATTTTATATTTATGTGGTGCTGAGGATCGAAACCCAGTGCTTCACAAATGCTAGGAGAGGGCTCTATCTCTGAGCCACAATCCCAGCCCCCACTAATATGTATTATATATTTTAAAAGACTGTCTATTTTAAAAAAACCTACTTGGTCATACATAGATTCAAGTTAAGGCCCCGAAGCCAAATTCTGGTAAATGAATCTTTGCTGTGTCCGCTCTGGCTGAGTCCTCTTTCAGGTCCTTGATATCAGCAGCAGCAGCAGCACCTCTTCTGTCTGATATTTACTGAGTTCTTATCATGAACTGGGCATGAGTAAGCTGCTTTACATGGATTGTCTCCCCCTGACCCAGTAGAACTTAGACTAAGCCTGAATCAGAGTGTCAATCTCCTAGGCTCAGCTAGGGCTAGGCAGACCCATAAACCAGGATTGGAACCAGCAGGGAGAACACAGGGACTGGGGATAAAGTTTATGTAGATTGCTTTCCGGCAGCTGGGACACACATGTTTTGGACAGTTTTCTGACAGAGAATAGCACTCAGTCTCAAGTCCATTTAATAATTGTGCAGAGGGGTAGGGTTATGATTCAGTGGTAGAGTGCTTGCTTAGCCTGTATGAGGCACTGGGTTCAATTTTCAGCACCACATATAAATAATAAATAAAATAAGATCCACCAACAACTAAAAAAATGTTTTTAAAAACTCTGCAGAGGGGCTGGGGATGTGGCTCAAGCGGTAGCGCGGGCTCGCCTGGCATGCGTGCGGCCCGGGTTCGATCTCAGCACCACATACCAACAAAGATGTTGTGTCTGCCGAGAACTAAAAAATAAATATTAAAAAAATTCTCTCTGTCTCCCTCTCTTCTCTCTCACTCTCTTAAAAAAAAGAAAAAAAAAAGAAAAAAAAACTCTGCAGAAAGGTGCTTGCTAAGGATGAGAAATGTATGCTCAGGAATGCTTTGGCGTCAGAAATCAGTACAGACCTTTTTAACCTTGTATATCATAGCTACTGATTTATTTATGGATGAAATGATATGAGATTTGCACCAATACAATTCAAAGGGGGAAGAAGTGGCCATAGGTTAATATTTTTGAAGCTGGGTAATGAGTAAAAGGAAATTTTTATTTTTCTCTTTACCTGTCTGTATGCTTGAGAGTTTACATAATTGAAAGTTAAATATATATATATGTGCATACACACACATACATGTTCTATGCTTTTTTTGTGGGGGGATACCAGTGATTGAACTCAGAGTCACTTAACCACTTAACATCCTCAGCCCCCGTGCCCCACCCCCTTTTTTTGAGACAGGGTCTCATTAAATTGCTGAGGCTGGGCTGGGGATGTGGCTCAAGCGGTAGCGCGCTCGCCTAGCATGCGTGCTGCCCGGGTTCGATCCTCAGCACCACATACCAACAAAGATGTTGTGTCCGCCGAGAACTAAGAAAAAATAAATAAATCTTAAAATTCTCTCTCTCTCTCTCTCTCTGTCCCCCTCTCTCACTCTCTCTTTAAAAAAATAAATAAATAAATAAATTGCTGAGGCTGGCCTTGAACTTGCTATCCTCCTGCCTCAGCCTCCCAAGTCACAGGAATTACAGGTGTGTGCCACCACACTTGGCATGTTCTATGCTCTTTTCCCCTTTGTGTGTATGCATGCATGCATATGTATGTGATTCCTTTTTTTTTTTCTTGATTGTTTTGCTATTGTTTCTGAATTAAGGTGATTTTTAAAAAAATCACCTGTTTAGGGGCTGGGGATGTAGCTCAGTTGGTAGAGTGCTTGCCTCCCATGCACAAGACCCTGGGTTCAATCCCCAGCACCACATAAAAAAAAAAGATCACCTATTTTGGCTTTGGCAAAGACAAACCAAGCCAAATTTGGGCAAGTGTGAAAAAAAAGTTATGAGCTCCTAGGACCCAGGTGCTGTTATGACAGAAGGGTCAATCATGGGAGAAACCAAGAAGACAGATATTCTGGGACGGGAATCCAACCTCTTTGTGTAACTGTCCTGGCTCCTTCCTTCACACCGCTCCCTTCCTTAGAACTGTTCCTCTCAAAATTTTTTCTCTAGTTGGGCACAATGGGGTAATGCCTGTAATCCCAACTACCAGGTAGGTTGAGGCAGGAGAATCACAAGTTCTAGGCCAGCCTAAGTAACTTATACTATTTAAAAAAATTTTTAAAGATGCTATGCCTGGTGGCACATGCCTATAATCCCAGTGGCTTGGGAGGCTAAGGCAGGAGGATCATAAATTCAAAGCCAGCCTCAGCAAAAGCGAGGTGCTAAGCTACTCAGTGAGACCCTGTCTCTAAATAAAATCCAAAATAGTGCTGGGGATGTGGCTCAGTGGTTGAGAACCGCTGAACTTGCGGTCCTCCTATCTCAGCCTCCCAAATTGCTGGGATTACAGGTCTGCACCACCATACCCAGCCTGCACCTGGCTTCTTAATTCTTTTTATTTCCCAAGTTTTATTTATTTTTTTTGGAGGTGGAGGGGTGGGTAGCGGTACTGGGGATTTAACTCAGGGCTGCTTAAAACTGAGCTACATCCATAGTCCTTTTTTTAATTTTGAAACAGGGTTCCGCTAAATTGCTTAGGACCTCACTAAATTTCTGAAGTTGTCTTCAAACTTGAAGATCTTCCTGTCTCAGTCTCCAGAGTTGCTGGAATTACAGGTGTGTGCCACAATGCTCAGCCCAAGTTTTTATTTTGGATAAAGTTTTTTTCTTTCTCTTGTCTCTTCTTTCTTCTCCTTCTCCTGCTTCTTTGCGGTGCTAGGAATTTAATCCAGGTTAAACCCTTTGAAAAACTGAGAGAGTAAAATAAATTACTATAACCCTTCACTTAGTTTTGCTAGTTTTTTCTTAACATTTTGCCGCATTTGTTGTGGTTCTCTCCCCCTCTTCTTCCTTCCTTCCCTTTCTCTTTCCCTTGTCTTCCTACATGCACTCTAATCATCTGAGAGTTAGCAGAGGCCATCATAGTATTTTACTCAGAGTATTTCAACCTCCTAGGAGAAAGGATATTCTCTGATTCTCTTAGTCTCAGGAATTATTACATTCAGGAATTTTAACATTGATAAAACATTCTTACTTAAATCTACTGCCCATATTGAGAGAGAGAGAGAGA